GTAAAGCATCTTACTGGAAGTCTGTTCCATGCATTTATGCATAAACTTATCATTTGCCATTGATCTGTTTTAGCTTGAAGATTTACATTTGGTGAATGTCCTTGGGAAGGAGGTATGTTGGTCTTTGTCTTTTGCTGAAGTATAATAAACTATAATAAAATTTTGGGTCAAGGATCTTTTGACAGTGGTGTGTACAAAAACTCACAACAGACATATCAGTGTTCACTGAATCAAAAATTCATAAACCAAATTGTAACTTCAAAAAACGGAATAAAAGCTGGCAAACTGAGAGATTTAAACTTGGTGGGCTGGTGTGTGAAGAGACGTGTTTTGCTTTTGTCAGAAGGAAACAGCAGTGTCTTAAAATCCAGCTAGGTCACAGGAGGCCCAGCAATAAAAAAGGGTTTATTGGCAAAAGTAAGGCAAATTCAAGTTGTGTACAAATACTGTAATGATTTTGATTTATCGTCCTTGTTCCAATAAGTGACCCTCTCAAATAGGTGCCCTTCCCCCCCCCACTGGAATTTGTTTTATTAATAAGTGCCCCAATTCTGTTTTAGTGATAGCACTGCTAGAGTAGACTCCCTAACATTATGCTGGAAAGATTCAATGTATATATGTTACCCTTGCAGATTCTGCTATTGTTCCCTTTAAAATAAACATCAAATCTTTGTTTAACACTTCCTCCTGTTTCTTGAAAAAGAAATAATTGCCCTGTCTCTTATAAATGCTCTTCTAAAGGCGTCATAAGTAAATAAACACCTCTGGTGCTAAATTGAATCCTTAAGGTACTTGGCAAATATTCCACACCCTTGAAATTAAAATTGTGCCAGGTATGTGTTATGATCCAGGCTCCTGACAAGGACCAACGTGCCAACTTCTTTCTCACCCAACTGACTAATTCTTTCACTTGGAAAAAACTTTCAGCTCCAATGCTTTCTTTACTTTTTGTTACAGGCTTTGACTGTGGCTTCAACACCTCAAGCTGGGTTGTCACAGTAAGTCAAGTTGATATGTTAAACTTTGCGATAAATGTTAGGCAAAACTTTATGCAAGTGTTCTTAGAGGAAAACATAGTCACCTGCATATAACACTTCCCTAGATGGCAGGCAAAGGTCTCAAGCCCAACACCTTACTCCCCTGGAGTTCCTCCCTGTTTATAGAACATGAAGTAACTAGGGGCAGTGCTACTTCCCCTGGAAGGGATGCTATTCTTTCACAGCTTTACTCCCCTACCCTACCCTCTCCCTCTCCCAGTGCTACTGTATTTTTTCACATTCCGCCATTTGCCACTACCCGTTTTTGTTATTCCACTGTTAGGCTATTTTACTATGTCAGGGCATCAGAGCATGCAAAATATGCCATGGTCAAAAACCATAAGCCAAAATACTAGAAAATGAAATCATAATCCCTGTGGTATAATAAACCCCTTATTCTGTCATTGAACATATGATATGAGTGGGTATTTTGTGCATTGCTCATACTTTTTTTTGTTCCCATGAGGCATGGAAAATATGATGAAACTCACAAAATATCCAATGCAGACATATTATATGTTTAACCCTCAACTTAGGTGTATATTCCCCTCAGAGGTGAGAGGTACTCTGAAAGTAAAAATGTCCTGTCCAAGAACAAAACACAATGGTCAAACCAAAGCTCAACAGCTAAGAAGCTTATGACTGTGAGATGGACACAAAAATAAATTTCCAGATCAAAGATGAAATTAGATATGTTTGACTTACAATCCTGTGTTGTTGAGCACTTGTGGTCAATTATTTATTGTTCTTCTGTTTATATCTAGACGCCTACAGACTCAACTTGAAGCATTTAAAACAGCTGAGGCAGCAAGTGGGAAGCAAACTAAGGTGTTTATTGTTTTGTTTTCTCTTTTTGATTTTTTTTTATATCAGAGGGCAATTTGAAAAGGGAAATTTGAATTTGAAGTGCTGTCTCAAAATTGACATGTTTGAAAAATTAAGTAGGGTATTTTCAAGAGGCACAAAGCATGATGTGAATTGCTTAATATGATAAAAGTGTCTATGATGGACATCTGGGATTCTTTCTTTGTCATACTGAAATCAGCCAGTGAGGCATGTTGCTTTGCAACACACCCCTCAAAAGTGTTTGTGGGCGTGCTCCCCTGAAAAAATTGGAAAATTGAAACTCTGTGAGATCAACATTCTGGGACATAATTGACTAACTTTTTTTTTAGCCAGAAATTGAGGTTGCAATCAGTTAAAAGTAGCCAGCTGCTGGCAAAGAATGTTTCCTACCTTGTTGTGTTGGCTGGCCACTCTCAGCTTTGTACATTAGTTTTGGAGAAATCAAAGTCAAATCTTGAAATTAAATCTCCTTTAATTAAGCAGCGGAGCAAATTTGTTCTCATCATTTACCAGTACTATAAATCCATGAAATTCCATTTCTATTTTCTTTAAGGTTTGGCAGAAAAGAAACCTTGAAAAAAGCATTTTTAGAGCATCTGCATGTTAAATTCTAACATCCAGAACCCTGTCAAGCCTTTTTACACTTAACACGGCATCTGGGATTGTGGTTCACATGACCAATGCAGCCATTCACTTCAAAAACTTTTGGAAAACCCTGTAAATTATCAGTACTTTTTTTTAATAACTGTGACAATTTTTCCCCCTTTTCTATCAGCAGAGTGATGATGGATGTGTCACATATGAGTTGTTTTACAAACCAGAACATGCAAAGTTTAATC